TTCTATTAATACATCTTGAATTTCCTCCCCCCAAATAACTCATTAAAATTCTCCAGTTTTCTCCTCAGCCTGGCACAGGACAGTGAAGGGATTGAGAACAACAACAATCTCAGTGGAAACGGCCTTTGGACTTTGACTCTCAGGTAGGAGAATTCCCAGGACCTGAAACAATCTCCCTTTCCCTCCCAAATAAGAACCCAGTCATGCTCAAGCAGTGTCTTCAGAGCCCTGACGTCATTATTGGGGTGCTCTGTGCTTCTCTGCTTGGTGGCCTGAGTACAGGTGCTGCTATTACCCACCCTCACTCCAGCCATGTCAGCTGACCCCCACCTCTGATCTCTCCCCTGACCCATCGTGGCCATGTTGACTTGACAGGGCCTTCTGCCAAACTAGACCTGTCCTGATGCTCACACAGAGGCGGGAGTGCTCTCCCTCCGCTCAAGTAGTATATTTCAGTTCTCTTATTTGACTCTTATGAGGGTGTCGATTTCTTATAGCCCTTTCTCTTTCAAGGAATCTGAGACCAGTTCCCCTGGGACTGGGACATTTGAGAGATACCTCTAGTGGCAGAAGTAGTAGAAATGAACTCTGAGGCAAAGTCCAGGGAGCTCCCTGCTGACATACTGAGAGAGAGAGAGAGAGAGAGAGAGAGATTAACAAAATTTTCTGACTCCCTTTCCACAATTCTTTTCATCACATCATTTTAACAACAACAACAACAATAAAGATAACAATATCAACTGATATTTAATGAGTACTTACTATGTGCCAGGCACTCTTCTAAGTGCTTTTTATTTATCATCACCTCATACATAATTTGGGGGTGCAGGAATAGATTTGGGGCAATTGAAGCAGCATTGAATGGGAGAATTTGGGAGATACGATTTGAAGGAACTCTTAAGAGTTTCATTAAGCTCAGTCAAGATGTGAAAGGAAAAGGTGAAAGCAGGAAAGAGCCAACAAAATGTGTGTGAGTGAGAAGAGGACTTGCAAAAAACACATCAAAAAGCCAAGGGCAGGGAGAAGTCATAGCTCATAGGGACTTGAGGATGCTGAAATCAAAACTGATCCAAGGAAGTTGAAATTATTATCATTTGTGAATGGAGTTCTTCCCAAGTTTCAGAAGTAAAATAATGTGTTCTATTTCGACACAGCAAGTAGATCAGCTCTTGGGACCACGTTGACTCAAATGAAATACATCAGACTCTTTTAATAGTCTTAGTGGTATCTCTAAAGGGTTACTTATTATCTGTTAAATATTTGAATAGAGCATTGTTCTGGAATAGCCACAGGAATAGCCCTTTGCAGAAAAGTGGAGGAACCAGTCTGAAAGCTCTACAATGAAAGCCACAGGGCAATGCTTCATCCCCAGCGAAAACTGTGTTGACAAGGTGGTCTGCATCCAACCTGGCTGCGCAGACAGATGGGCTCTTAGCCAGCGACATTAGCAGATTCCCGATGACCAGTGAGAGGGACTCTATAAGGGGATCCCATGTGCGTGTGTTTTTAAGTCTGACTTGGTAGGGCACAAAGGACTGGCAAGTGACGTGTGCTGAGCAGTCACACCAGGCTCAACTGAAAACCTGAAACAAAAGCCTAGGCTGAGAGAGATCTCCACATTCTCACAATAACCAAACCCCAGCAATTTATCCCTTCTTTGGCCTCGGTCTTCAACCACCCTACTGACTCCTTCTCATTTCGAGCTCAGATTTCTCCCATCTTTAAAAAGCAGCCAGACAATCAGAACAACTGTCATGCTTTCATGCTAGTCCTTCTCCACTGTTGGGAATGAGTTGTCTACCCTTCCTGCCTCCATATTCTACCCTCTCGCTCACATCTCAAGCCACTGTTCTCTGATTCTTTCCACCACCAGTTCAGTCAGCCGGTTCCCAACAAAGTCACCAATCACCAGCTTCAGTGGACCCATTCCTTCCTTATCTTAACTTGACTTCCCTGTGGCGTGCATGTGGGCCTATCCCTTTTTCTTCTGCCTGGCCCTTAAATGTCGGTGGTCCCTGGCTCCATCCTTTTCTCATTCTGCAGTCTCCTGGGAACCTCCCTCATGGTTTCAGCCACCACTTGTACATTGATATCACCCAGACTCTACATTCTGCCTTGACCACTTTCTCTAAGCTGTTTATTCAGCTTTCCACTCAACATGTCTCTCCATGGAAATCTCTGGGTGCCCCATGGAAATCTCAACTCACACGACCACTCATGATGTCATACCCACATTGCCCATTCTTCATGGATTCCCTCTCCCTGGTGATTGTCAAAACCAATCATCCTGTTGCTTTAGCCAGAAACCAGGGAATGGTTTTGGACTCCTCCTCCTTCCTACCCATTTGGAAGCCCAGTCTCAGCCCTGTCGTCTGTTTTGGTGAGAACCCCCCAACTGAGCTCCAGCCTCTCACCCTCAAAATCACCTCCACACTGGCCACCAGAGGAATCTGTCAAAACCTAAATCATGATCATGTCCTTCGCCTGCTTAAAGTCCTCTGGTGGCTTCCAACCGACAACCTTTGCCCTCTCTCATTTCTCTCCTCTCCCCTATTTTTACTCTATGTCCACAGAGAGGCCAGACCCAGTGGGCAAGCAGCCAACAGCTAGGACTTGGGCAACTAGTTAGAGGGGTTTGGATTTGACATAGGAGGATAGAACTCACAGGTTCATGAGCGTGGCATGATGGCATGATGACAGTACACACGATAGGTCCTCATAGTGGATGACTGCTATAAACTAAATGGGTCCTCCCAAAATTCATGTTAAATCCCGATGCTCAATGTATTTGGAAGGGAGGCCTTTGGGAGGTGGTGAGGTCATGAGGATGGAACCCTCATGAATGGGATTAGTGCCCTTAAAGAGACCCCAGAGAGTTTCCTCCCCCACCTCCCTTCTACCCCATGTGAGAAAAGACTGCTGAGAAGACTGTCTATGAACCAGGAAGCCGGCCCTTACCAGACAACAGAATCACCCATGCCTTGTTCTCGGACCTCCCAGCCTCCAGAACTATGAGAGATAAATTTCCAGTTTTTATGTCACCCAGTCTATGGTATTTCATTATAGCAACCCAAAGGGACTGTTAAAAGAGAAGGGACCTTATACTAGGACTATGCCACCAAACTGATAATACCTAACTTAATCACAATTTCAACCTTTCCCAGGAGTGAGATCTGGAATTAACTGGTCAGCACTAGTGAGGTAATCCACCTGGTAGACCCCTGCAGTTCTTCAAAGGATTGTGACAGTCTTGACTTGTACCTGCCTTGTCCCGCCGCCTTCTGCCTAGAAGTCTTTCATTGTGTATAGCTCATCAGAGCTCCTTTTTCTTTGTTAGGTGGGATGCTGCCCACTCATGAATTGTGGGAAAAAGCCAATAAGATTTTAAAAATTGACTCAGTTCAATTTTGTTTTCTAACAGGACTAAGACATGGATCATAACAACAGGCCAAAGGACCTAGACCAGGCTTCTACAGTGAGAAAAGAAGAAAAGGTGAGCCTAGAGGACTGGCGAGGAAAAGTAAATAGCTACAAAGGAAAGTCACCAGATTAAGTAATAAGGAAATGCATTCGCAGGTCATGCGAAACACTGCTAGAAGCAAACAATCTACAGGAAGTCTAGGGACTTTGAAGTCCTATTATTGGAAGTCCAGCATCAAGGAACAAGAGCAGGGGTGTACACACACACACACACACACACACAGAGCACCACCCCCAACCCCACCCCCAACCTTCCCCTCTACAGAGCAAGCGAGGAAGGCAGATGCTGGGAGAAACTGGCTTCTCTGAAAGGGAGTGAGGGCAGGAAAGCCTAGAAGAGAGGACAGACACAAAGAAGGGGCACTGTCCTTGTGACACGCTGTGCCAGCTGACCCCTTAAAGGGGGGACTTCAGGATGATGATGAAAGAGGCAGCAGTCCTTCATTGGGCAGATTCAGAAACACCTTGTCCAAAAGGTTGCCAGGATTGGAAAAAAGTGACTTGCCAGAGTAAGTCCGTTTCTCGAAACAACCGGCCTACAAGACCCACGCTTATAGCCCATAACCGCTAATGGACTTCCGAGTCCTGTAGATCCGTGTTCGAACCTCGACTGTGCCATTGGGCAAATCCGGTGACTCCCGGTTAAACAGCTTGCCCTGGGCGGGTCACAGTGCCCAGGTAATGGCAGACCTGGGGCGAGAACCCAACAAGGTCGCTGACTCCAGAGAGGTGCCCTTCCAGCAAACCCGATGGTCCCCGGGGCCTGCCGCGCCTTTGTGCCCCTCGCCTGGCACCCCGCAGAGGCGCCCCGCGTGGGAGCCGGGCGGGGTGGGGCGAGTCCGCAGGAGGTGGGCGTGGGTCTGGGGGTCGCTGGTGGGAGCGCCCAGAAGTGGCGGGGGCCCCGCGGGGAGGAGGCGGCCAGGTGGTGATTGGCTGGGCCGCACGGGCAGCTCCGGGCCGAGAACAAAAGAGCGCGGCGGCGGGCGGCCCCCGGAGTAGGCGCTCCCGCCCGCCCGGCGCGGGCTCGGTGCTGGGGGAGGACGCGCCCACCGCCCGCCGCGCAGCCGGCCGGGCGCGCTCCGTTTCTGGGCGAAAGCCGGCCGTGCACCTAGGAATTAACCGGCCCGCGCGGGAGGGGAGGCGGGAGCGGGCGGGGGTGCTGAGCGCGCGAGAACAATAATAAGATCGCGGTTACGGTCGCTGCCCGAGGAGGAGTTCGGAGGAGGCGCGAGGCCCGGCGCTCCGCCGCGCCCGAGAACCGGGAGGGAGGCCGGCGGCGGCATGAGGCAGGCGG